ATTGTGTATAGAATCATTTTCTAGGCTGAGCTTAATTTGGTATTCACATGAAAATTTATCTTTAACTTTTTTTTTTCTCGTACAATCCTGATAGTAATGCTTTTGGACAGGCGTCACTTTAGTTTTGCCTCATACTTAAACTCTAATTGTCATATTACTCCTGCTTCTGTTTGTTTCCCTTGCATAAATCCATTAATTAGCTTGATTTAAATATTATGTAATTTCTAGTGACCTTAAAATATAGTTTGCCTCATACTTAAACTCTAATTGTCATATTACTCCATGCTTCTGTTTGTTTCCCTTGCATAAATCCATAATTAGCTTGATTTAAATATTATGTAAATTCTAGTGACCTTAAAATATAGCTTTGGGTCAGATGCATGCTTGAAGATGACAATTTGAATTTAATGATGCAGGGCAAAGTAGTAAAGTTTTGGCCATTAAGTGCTTTTTTTTGTTAGAGTTTGAAGATGGTGGGCGGAAGTGTAGGTGAAGGCGAGGTCGGTGTGTGTAGAAGTGACCATCTGTTCAATTCATGAGCTCTTGAAGAATCTAGGACTATTCTTAAACGCGAAAGAGAACGACAAGGTGAATGCAATATTGCAGCTTGTTGTGTTGGTTTCAATAGAGGTTGTAAAGGCTATACATTTACTATATTTTCTTCCTAGTAAAAAAATGTGTCCATATATAAGTCAGTAAAGAAAATAATTAAAAAAGGACAATAAAGGAGAATTTTTTCAATAATGTCAACATAGAATAATAATAAATTGTATAGATTCCTTTATTAACTAGGTATTACCTGATAATTTAGATATAATAACCAATAATAAAAGCATGAGAGCATAAAAATAGAGATAGAAATTCATTATGTAAGATTTTATTTGATAATGGGTGGTGCACTAAAAACTTAGCATATGATTCTCTAAAAACTTGATTTCTTGTACTTTTCTCACCGAAAATACCATCTATTTTTTTTAGTCTGTGATAATCACTAGTATTAATCATAGAACACACAAAATGCATAGCAAGCATAAAAATAGATTTATAATAAATATCTCCTTTATGTTTTGAAAATATAGTCTTTTAATACATTTTTATTATTTTAAGTTAACGACATCTCATAAAAATATTTTTTTTAAATAGATTAATGCCTCTATTATTTGAGGATTACTGCTTCACTATGTCAAATTTGGTAACACGTTATTCACTTATGGGGTAAAATGGGCCTAGCAACGGTGCATGACATGACTAAATGAAGATCATGCTCTTATGGGCATTTGCATCATCTCTTTTCTTCAAGATGATTGGATTATAATTGAGTAATTATTAAAATTTTGAGTTCTCAAGCTGCATGAGGTATAGTGGGGCAAGGAGTTATTCCAAAGAAAAAGCTAAAGTGGTGTAGTATTAATTCCCCTTGCTATCATTGTTCTAACCTCATATTAGCACTTTGCAATATAAAGATATTGTAGCTAATTGTGTATTCTAAAATAAAATGCTTCAATGCTTATATTGGCAATGTTAAGCCCAATATACATAATTAACATGTTTCTTTAATATATAAATGTAACTTTTGGATGGTTGCTTTACTTCTTTGTCGAGACATCATTGAATCTCCATATAATTACCTTTGAGCTATGATCGAGCCATTTACATGCTATTGAGTCTTCATGAAAGCACATGCAATAGGCATGTAGGTTCCCATTTAGTTTTTTTGTGAAATTGCTGTCTTCTGAGCTTCATTTTTGTTACATTTTGTGTGACTGGTAAATGGTAATAGGCGAGTGGAGAACTTCGAGTTAGCTTGCAATAATACAAAATATAAGTAAAAAGGCTTTTCCCTCCTTTTTTTTTTAAAGTTGGAGATGCTAATGAAAGCAGGGGAACTTTGTTTTTTTTTTCTTTTTATTTTTATGGAACTTAGATGTGCTCATTTACTTCAGAATGAAAATGTGGAGTTCACATGGAAATAGGAGTAGGAAATTTGAGTGTGCATATAAGAGGAGAATGTGTATCTCTTTTATCTTCCCTCACTTTTCTTAATCATAAATTCAGGCACAATATTTATTTAATTTTTGACAAATGCTGTACAAAAAATTTAGTGGCTAAGATTTTAATAGTCTAGAGTGCTCGTTTTAACAAATTATGCAGAAAGTTTTTTTTTCTAGTAAACTTTGAAAATTAATATGTAGAATATCAATTAGTTAAATGAGAATCACTCCTTTTTTTTTATTTTTGTTGGTGTGAGAATTCTGAAGATTAGATTGTTGTATTGATATATAGAACTGGTGAGAGTGGTAACCACAATCTAATTATAGGTGGTGATAAAAATTTGATGCTGTACTCTATAAAAAGCACAAAACATAATGAAACTTTATTTTGTTCAAAATATAACTTTGATATGTATCAGATATAGGGGTGCATTCTCTAGCATTTTGAGTATTATACTAGACTTTTAGTTCATTACTACAAGGTTTTGATTTAGCTCGTTGAATTTTTAAATCAATTTATCTAGGATTCTAATCTGAACCCAAATGATTTTTCATAGGCAAACAAATATTTTATTTCATCAAAATAAAACACAACCCGTATACATAAATATAAGCTTTTAACAAATATTTTATTTCATCAAAATAAAACACAACAACCCGTATACACAAATATAAGCTTCTACAATTAGAGAGGTAGGCGATCTCTCAAAAACCCTAATCCTAAAACCTACAATTCGAGGCGTAAGTGATCCCTCCTAAACCCTAACCCTAACTATAAGACAACAATCTCATAGTATAATTCTAACCATAAATATATTAGCCCTATTAATACCCAACAATAATAAATAACAAAAGATATAAGTGAATGTCACAATCATAGCATAATCCTAACCATAAATATATTAGCCCTTTAATACATTTCATGATAATATTGATTGTTATTTTAATAGCTTTATTTTTTATTTTAATTGTTGTGGCATTCAGTGTTAAATGAGATATCTGTTCTAGGTGAAATATTTGAACTTACTAGTTTTTGAGGATTATGAATGTAGTTTCTATTTTAGTATTAGTTATTCACCTGGACTAGTTCTGCTATAAACAACATAACAATACAGGGGCAAATTTTTTTTTTTATCATAAACAGCTTTTGCTCAGATGTACAAAACAAACAAACATACTACTTCTTGAGACTGTTGTTGCTTAGAAGTTTTTTAAAAAGCTGCAGTTGCTCCAAAAGAACTCTTAGTACTTTCTTGGTGTAAAATACATGAGAAGTATGGCCTATATACATCAGAGTATGCATTAACTATGTTGATTAAACCCTTCACTAATGAAGTTACCAGCTTACAGGAAAAAGTTGTTGTCTTGACCGTATGCTGTCGACTTGCTCCAGTGAATGCTAGTGAATGTCTTCTGAGCTTAGATAAGTATGTCTGGATAAACCTTGGAATGTGGATATTTTTTCACATCCTTTGGGGTCCTGACAAGTTCATGATGGTCCCTAGTGAGTTCGCCACTTTGATTGTTCTGACTCAACCAAATCACCTTGAGTTCAGTTGACTTAGCTTGAACCTATTAGACTTAGCTTTGACCTTGTTGTTTTAGCTTGAATCAAGCCAACATAGCTTGAATTTCTTTGATTGTTCTGACTCAACCAAATCACCTTGAGTTGAGTTGACTTAGCTTGAACCTATTAGACTTAGCTTTAACCTTGTTGTTTTAGCTTGAATCAAGTCGACCTAACTTGAATTGAGTTGACTTAGCATGAGTTAAGTATTTGAGATATCTAAATATATCTTTAGTTTTATGATTTTCTTATATCTTCGGAAGAAAAATGTAAAAGTGTATGAGAATGAAAATAAGGACCCTTTGTTTTAATTTAATTCTTATTATTTCAAAAAGCAATTTATAGTCATTTCTATCTGTCTTTTTTGAAAACATATCATATTGTGTGATTAAACTGTTCTTGTTATCTTTGCAAAAAGATTGAATGAATAAATAAAATATTTTGTAACAGATAATAATCAATATTTGTTTATCTTGTTATGATTAGTTGTCATGTTGATCTTGACGTTGATTTGTTCTTCCATACATGTCAACACTATCATAAACATATCCATATGAGAATTGCGCTTTCATTTGAGCGCTGCTCAATTATTCCATCTTCTTGCATTTGTCATTGCAAAATATTTCTTTCTAAATGACCAATATTCCCAATAATAAGATTGATGTCCCTAAAGTGGAAATATTCATGGTATTCTCAAGAGCATGTGAAAGAGAAATTAGATCGAATAATGAGAGAATAAGAACATTTCTTTTGAAAAAGATAACAAATGAAGTAAGCAAAGTTGGAAAATAATGATGCCTTGTTTGATTTGTTGTCTTCTCCGGTGCAATCAGTAATATTCCTCCAAGTCTCCAACTGAATCAATAGGTGGGCATTTGATTCTCCCTAAGCCAATGATTACACCAATAAGTAGTTCTACTATTCCTCTCTGAAAACTGACCACCGCGCTTGAAACTTTATAATTTTAGATATTTATTGAATTCTTTTAACTTTTTTGAATTTGTAAGTGAAGAAAGTCTTGATATTTTCAAGGAAAGTTGAGGTCTTGCCATGGAATCAATGTCTTTTAGAGAAAGTAAAGAAGTTTTTAGTATGGGAGTGCTGTATGTAGAGGAAATTATCAATTATGTTATTTGGTTGGAGGATTTGCTTACAAAAAGATTTATTTTGGGAACGATCATTGTTTCAGATAAAATATCTCGAGGGAGAGAGTGGTTGTGTTTTGAGTAGTGTTCATGTTTTAGATGACATAATTTCATAACTCTTTTTGTGATATCAATTTGAGACTGATCTAAATTCCTAAATATTGAATTAGTTAATGGTACTAAAAAGGATAGCTAAAGTGTTGTCTATTCCCCTTATAATAGCATAATTTGTATCTCATCTTCTTCCTTTGCAGTTCTACTATCTTAAAATTACTGATTTTGTATTCCATTTCATTCCAGGTTTTGCAGAAGGCTCTTGAAGTATGGGACCTTCAAGCTATCCCCTTCGACTCTCCTGTCGCCGAAGTATCGAAGTACGAACCCGAGCTCGAAAACGCCTTCATCTGCCATCTCCAGAACCACTGGTTCTGCATCCGAAAAGTAAATGGAGAGTGGTATAATTTTAACAGTCTCTATCCCGCCCCCGAACATCTCTCCAAGTTCTATCTATCCGCTTACTTAGATTCCCTCATGGGATCTGGCTGGAGCATTTTCTTAGTTAGGGGAATGTTTCCCAAGGAATGCCCAATTCCAGTTTCTGATTCTACTAATGGTTTTGGACAATGGCTGACTCCAGATGATGCGAAGAGGATAACAATGTCTTGCAACCAGCTCCAAGTTCCTGCATCAGGAGTTGCTTCTACTCCTACTAATCAATCAGATGCTGCAGCTGATTCGATTGAGCAGCAGGAAGAGCAGGATCTAAGAGCTGCAATTGCAGCCAGTCTTATGGATGTTGGTGTTGGAAATAGTGGAGGAGATGATGATATGAGGAGCCCTGTGGCTTTGAAGATCGGTATGGCGAGCTCGGCTTCTGGTTTGGATGAGGAGGGTGGCGAAGTTTGTATTGATGGGGGTGTTGATGAGACCGAGGAGTTGGAAAACAGGAACTTGTTGAGTTCTACTTTACAGGGCAAAGAAAATGTTAATTAAGGATTTTAGAGTTTTATTTTGAGGATTGTTGCTGATGAAGTCTGGAATGGACTATTGTTTCTGTAGTTGAAAAGAAGGCTTTGTCACAGCAAATTTTCTCTGAAAGTTTATTGCTTTTCGGATTCTCTTTATTTGTTGAAATATGCTGTTAAGGTTCCATGGTGGTAACTTCAACTTTTGTGTGGGTAATTGGATGTTCAATGCTTTTATTTATTATTATTATTATTATTTACTTGTCTGCTTTGAAGTAAGACGAATATTATACATTTTAGAAGATATACTAGTGAATACTTTTAATACAACCATGTTTTGTTTGAAGTTTATGGCCATTTTAGCTAATTGGATGTTCAATGTTTTAATATATATATATATATAAGTGTGCTTTGAGTAAGGCAAACATTATAAATGTTAGAAGATAAATTGTTTAATTAGTCTATTTCAAACTCGAGTTTAAGTTTATGAGTTCGAGCTGGCTCACGAGGTGGCTTGTTTATCATAAAAAAGAAAACATCATTCATTCTAGTGTTATAATAAAAATGATAAATACATAATCAATTAGGAGATACATAATAATAAATCACTTGCTATAAAATTCAAAATAACAATTTTTAAATATTTTTAATAGTTTAAAGATAAAATATAAAATTAAATTTATTTTGAAAATTTTTATATTAATATTAAACGGGTTAAATTTATTTTGAAAATATTTTATATTAATAGTAAACGGGTTGAAACACAAGCTAATGAGCCTAATCACTGTGACTTGTTCATCTCAGCCACCCAAGCTTGTGAAACACAAGCTAATGAGCCTAATCACTGTGACTTCTCAGCCACCCAAGCCCAAGCTTGTGAACCTTCAGAATTATGTGTGAATAATCTTTAAAAAGCCCAAATATTTGGAAGTTTTAGGTGCTACCACTTAAGACTAACAATAATGGAAGAGCTTTATAAAACCTGAGGGAATTTAATCGCAGTTATTAGAATTTGGTTGTTAATGCACTAAACATTTAATCTGAGAAAAAATTTTCAAATGAGCCCTTTTAAAAATCTGTTAAAAAATGTAAAAAATAAAAATAAAAGCTATCCTAGCCTTTATTATTATTTATTTATTAAAAAAATTCTTTTTCACTCGTTCTTTTCACATTATTAGAGACTTCCAATTCCTTCCAATTTGCCAGAATGTTCGAAGTTGGAGTTTCGGGCGGTGAGAAAATCAATCATCAGTCCACCATGTGAATATTCAATTTGAATTTTTAGAAAGTTTTGATCTTCAACTAGTATGGCTTTCGTTGCGACACCGTTCATCAATTTTTTTTTAAAAGTTGTTTGTCAAATCAGAGGAGATGAGATGCGATCTAAATCGGTGAAAATTTATCGTTTTTTTTGTGAAAATACTTCGAGAGATATTCATCTCCCACTGTTTCACAAAACGAAAATTTTTACACATCGATATTCGCTCCAGCCGAAAGAAAATTCGCCACTTCCTCAAATAAAGCCTATATGCCTAAAAAACTAGGGCATATTGTATAAAAAATGATTTTAATATGTTATAATTAAATAAAAATATGATACTCAATAAGACACAATGAAGAAAAAGAATTCATGCCCCCCTTGGCAGATAAAAGTTTGTTGTTATCATCATCATCTTCGTCGTCTCAATTAATTATTTAATCGATATAGCTAAATTTTTATTATGCATTTTCTTTCCATTCATAATTAGTAACTTATTTATATGGCGAGAGGCTATTATACGAGTACCCTGCCACCCTCATATGCCTAATTATTTGAGGACTGCCCTCACTATCGACAAATTAATCAGAGAAATTTGAACCCGTGATTTGAAGAGACTAACGACCTTCAAAGAAACTACTCTATCAAAAGGCCACGGATGGCAGCACGAACACACACATATATATATGTATATATATATATATGTAATGAATATTAAGATAATTACATAAGTAAATTAATAAATCAAAATTAATTGTCTTCATGTAGTTTAAAAAATAGGGATTTGAGGTTATTAAAAATTCTTAACAGATTTGAAAGTTATACGTTAGTGGAATTGTTATAACTAACTAATAAATGTGATATTTAATATTTCTAACATAAAAAAAACAAAAAAAAATTAAGTATGGGTCAACTTTGAAAGTTATACGTTAGTGGAATTGTTATAACTAGCTAATAAATGTGATATCTAATATTTCTAACATAAAAAAAAAACAAAAAAAATTAAGTATGGGTCAATAAGTAGCATGCTTGATTTTAAGTTTTTTTAATGGACTGAACAAAAGTACTTACACTAGTGACAGAAATCATCAAATATGTCAAAAAATTCATTGTATTAGAACCTAAGGAGAGTTCGTCAAACATAAAACTATGAGAGTTGGAGATATACAAGATCATGCACACATCATGTAATATTAGCTAGAAAACAGCACATCCACACATTCAGAAGTTGCTGTCCACTTTGTGATAGAGACGGAATCATTTCATTAATGTCCAAAATGCATTGGATAAAATAATGAGTTATTGAAGATGAATCAAATTAGCTAAATCACGAGAAACAGAATGTTACAATTCAAGTCTACAGGAATTGAATTTCTTTCCTGTTTATTACAGAATGAGAACTATTTATCCTGTAAAAAATGAAAATTGAATATTATACATATCCTGCCAAGATTTCATTGTTTTTGAATTGTGGTAGAATATGATCTTATTCAATTGAACTGAAATACAAGGAAGCTAACCAATTCATCAAGCTGGTACCTCTCTGATGAACAGTTTTTTAACCTGTGAATCGAAAATCATAAAGAGAATCGGACAATTCAGAGTGAAAACAGTTTTCAGTATAAAATTGAATATCTTTTTATAAAAATTCTCAATCTTGAATGAGATTTTTGGTCACGTTTGTATAACTATAAGATCAAATCATGCCGTCGTTAGTAATGAAAGTGATGAATAGATTAGTAAGGGTTCATTGTAAGACATAACACAAATATTTGGTAAGAAAGCTATTAAGTTACCTGCTCCAAAGTCAAAAACATAATCACATTCCACGATCCAAGCCGGCCGAAATTTGGAATGAATCCTTTGTAGAATGCGAGTGGTCCCTGAAATGAGGGGGCGCGAGAGCCGTTGTTTAGAAGCGATTGTGGGGACTTAATTTATTTCCTTTCAGGCACCCAGCTTAAATGGAAAAACTTGATGGGGGGATTAAATGATAAATTTAAAATTTAAAATTTGAAATTCAAACTTATATAAGCTGAGGCAATTAGCCCGTGTTCAGCCCGAATCAAACTGGAGTCGAATCCGAGTTGAGCCCGGGCCCGCGTCCCGTAAAAAAATATGCATCGATATTCGTGTCATTTGTTTGCGCGAAACTATAACAATGCAGTGTCCTTTCTAGCTAAAGTCGACGTTCAGGACGTGTCGGCGCGGGGCGGCTCGGCATCCCCGGGCG